TGCCATAAGCAATTCTCTGCCATGTTCCTCTGCCTTGGCACTATGTTCTGAAACCTCTACAAACTGTAAGCCAAAATAAATCGTTCCTCCTTTAAATTGTGGATGTCAGCTAATGTGTCTCAGTGATGAGAAAGTAATTAAGACTGGTCTTCTGCCCAGTGTGAGCTGAGCCTCTGTTCCTTTCTCCTCAGATATTTATCCCTTCCAGGTCTCTGTCTCAAGAGCTCCATTTTCCAGCCTGTGGAATTGGGCAGCATGCTCAGGCTCAGCGGGGTGCCTCCTTGCCTTTGTGGGAGGGTAGGAAGTGGGCAGGTTGTGACACTGTGTCTCATCTTTCTGGTGACTGGAGAAATGATGGGAAACACCCACTCTAGTCTGACACGATTGACTCTTTCCTGCTCCTTCATGTCCCCAAGATTATACCACCTGTGGCTCCCTGCCGACAAGAACAGTGCCGCCCGCAATTTGTGATGTTCAGCCTTTCTCTGTTTATGTTAGGATGCTTCCCATGTTGATGCCGCTCAGTGGGTAGGATGACACGGGGACACCGTGTTCCCTGGTGCTTGGGAGGATGGGAGGGGCCAGATAGCCTCTGTTTGTGTTGCTCCTTTCTTTCTTTCCCTGGTTGCAGTCGCTGACTTCCCTGGGGCTCCATGCTTCCAAGTGAGAGGGAAAGTATGCAGGGAGCCTATTCCACTGGCTTTTACAGTGCTGTCTTCTTCTCTCAGGCTGTTAAAATCACTCCCAAAATGGTGTGTTCCCTAGTGTTGTGGTTTGTGTCCGGATGTTCCCGGAAAGCCTCATGTTGTCATGGGGCAGGCTTCCAGAGTTTTTGATTGATTCATGGGTGTGAGTGCTACACCCGCCCTGGGGCGGGTAGTTTGCATACAATGTAAGGGAGGGAAAGAGGCTGTTTGCCACCACTGCTCCCCACATTTTGCTCTAGCTGCTTTTGCTGTCTTCTGCCGCCTTGAAGTGTTGCCCTTGTGCCCTGCCACCCTGCCTTGAAGTCAGCTGATTGTAGACTGAAACCTCCACATACTGTGAGCTTAATAAATCTTTCCTTCCTTAAGGCATTGGGCGTTGGGTCTTTGTCTCAGCAAGGAGAGAAAAATAACCAAGACACCTAGGTAATGTGTGTGTGGGGGACTGTAGAACTTGTCGTTTTCAACAACTCCCATATTTGGTTCAATCTAGAGAATTTATCTTTCAGGTTAATGTTCCGTATCTGGGTGTATTTGCCTTGCCCCATTTCCGAATACCGTATCCTGCGTCTCTCCTCTGAGCTTCTCCAACATATCTTCTGTACTTGTTCGTGTTGTAATCTCTCTCTTTAGCATTTAACGGGGAAATTTTAGGGAATGCTTGGTGGGTGAATTGCTCATTTCTGTAAATTATGAATAAGTTAATAAAAAAATTTTATTAGGAGTAGAGAGGTTGGTTGAGTGTTACAAATTAGTGTTCTGAATTTTATTGTGCTTATTGCTTTGTCATATAATTTTCTATATAATTAGAATACATTCGTTTTGAATTTTGGATGGAAATCTCCAAACACCAAGTTATAGTAATTACATAGAAAATGTAGCTGATTGTTTCTTATATTTTAGTGAGTATTTTTCAATATCATTTGTATAGAACTTGGTGAAAATATATTTTGAAAACATACAAAATAAATGAACATATTTGCTAACGTTACACTCAATAACTTTTCATTTTTTTAGGGCCCTCTGTCCTTAACTTTGGTAATATTTGTGTGAACTCCACAAATACGCATTCATTGCATCTTATTAATATGCTGTCTATGCATATTTTGATTCAGTTAGATATCAATTTTGAAGAACTTAAGAAAACTAAAATATTTTCACATGTGATTCCTCCTACATCTAGTACTCACATTCCAATAATATTTGAAGCTTCTGCCATTGGAAAATTTTGGAGGTAAGATTTTATTTTTGAAGTTTCTGTTTTTTTTAGAATCATGATGGAGTATGTATTCACCCAAATAATTGTAGTGTGTACTGTATTTTGTTTCAAAATATAGAAACTCTGTGCATCAGTTTGTAGACTCATAGGTTTATATTTTAGTAGTCATCCACTTCTCTTTCATAATCATTTTAAATTATTACACACTGTGAATTAAATATGTATATAAATCTATAGTGTATGCATTTTATATGTGACTGAAGTTTGTAACTGTAAAGACTTAACAGTTAAATTTGGATGACTTTGCTATGTTGCAGGTCTTTCGCCTTTACAGTAAACAGCACACCTGGTGGGCACATTTTAGTGACCGCAGAAGTCCTGCCTATAAAACTTGAGCTTTCTTCGGATGAGATAGTGTTGAAACCACGAGGTTTCTTGGTGAAAACATGCTTCTGGGGGACAGTTAAGTTGTATAATCATCAGAATAAGTCTGCGCAGTTTGGATGGCAACCAGTAAACTCACTAAACGGGATAGCGTTTTCCATTCGTCCAGCTAAAGGTAATGGTTGATTCTTTTCGTATTTGATTTATATGTGTGCTCATTCATTCATTCATTCATTCATTCATTTATATATTTGGGCATTAATCATTTTCTGTCTACTGGGTACTTGTGCCTGGAGCATAGAAATAGCTTAGATAACTGTGTGTAAGGACATTTATTTTTGCATACATAAATATGATTTGAAAGTATGGATACTGTAAGAGTTAGGGTTCTCCAGAGAAACAAAACCATTAGGAGACAGATATAAAGACGGAGCTGGAGATGGAGATGAGGAAGAAAGATATTTTAGGGAACTGGCTCTGGGTTACACAGCTGTGTGACCTGGCAAGTCTGAACTTTCCAGTGCAGCTTGCATACTCAGAAAAGAGTTGATGGTCCAGTCTTTGGTCGAGGGACGTTCTGGAGGCGCAGTTAATTTTTCCTCTGGGGTGTCTCATCTTTTAAGGCTTTCAGGTTATTGGGTACGACTCATCAAAATTATGAAAAGTAACCTGAATGTTAATTAATTTGCTGATGATAATCATCACACAATATACACGTATATAAGTCACCAAAGTATACAACAATCCTTGTCAGTGTTTTTGAAAGTCTACTGATTTAAAAATTAATCATATGTAAAAAGCAGTCACAGCAACAGATAGACTGGTATTGACCAAAAAATGGAGTATCACAGTCTGGCTCTGTTGGCAAATAAAATTAGCAAGCACAGATTTTAATGGACACAATGATTTTTTCTTTAGTTTTTTATGATAATTATGATAAGATATGACTTTGAATGAGTGAAATTTTTCACGATTGAGGATTTTTGAAAGGTCAGCAAATTCTCTATAGTAAATACTTGATCTAATAAAATCCAGTTAATAAAATTAAAACTCAAAATTGTCATTTAATAAGAAAATCCATAGAGAACAATCTTAGACTTACTGTTTTTTGTTGGTCATTTGTGTTTTTCTGTGTGTATATGGTACTGGGGACTGAACCTAGGGTTTTACACTCAGGTATATCCCGAGCCCTGTTTTAATTTTCATTTTATTTTTTGAGACTGAGTCTTCTAGAGTCACTAAATTGCCCAGTCTGGCTGTGTTCAATCTTGCGATCTTCCTTCCTCAGCCTCCCACAGTGCTGGGATTACAGGTGTGAACCACTGTGCCCAGCAGTCCTTTGTATTTGGTAACCATCCTCTCAAATTTGCACGTGGTGTTCTCTGGAACCGTGCAATTTCATATCACAAGTCTGTTATAAAAGGAACTCTGCTAACTGGTGAACTCTGACTTTTAACAAGGTAGCCTGTCAAACATTATTTTTTTTTTTTGTTTTGGTTTGGTTTTTTTCTCTGGTACCAGGAACCGAACTCACGACCTTGCGCTTGCCAGGCAGGCACTTTGCTGCTGAGCTAAATCCCCAGCCCCCTGTCAAACATTATTGTGAGGTGCTGTGAGGACCTTATGAAGACAGAAGATATCGTTTGAGCAAATGAAATGGCAAGTTACAAGCGAATGATCACTATGATATCTTCAGTTTCTGTACATGTTGTGCCTTTCCAGATAGGTGGGAAGACGTGAATCTTCATTCATATCTGCAGTGGCTCGCGTGGTGCTTTATAGGAAGCTGAGGTCCAATGCTGAGTGACTGGAAAGTTAAATAAACTTTGGAGTCAGGTGCACTTAATTGCAAAATGAACCTTAGCTTGTCCCTAGTTATTTTATTTTATCTAGATCATAGTACTCTATGACTACTAGTTTTCTGGTCTGTAAAGTGGAGGGATGATATAGATTATAAAGATTAAATGTATAGAGACAATCGAGTGTGGGAAAAGATTTTTATCAGCTGTTCCTCAAAGCACTACCATCTAGAATATACAAAGAACTCAAAAAATCAGATGCCCCAAATTTAAAGACCCAGTCAAACAGTGGGTATCTGAGATAAAAAGACACTTCTCAGATGAGAAGTAGAAATGGCAGATAAATATATGAAAAATAAAATGACTAGTCCTTCCAGAAATGCAAATTAAAACAATGATGAAATTCCATCTCAGTTCAGAGGGAATGGTTGATAATTGAGAAATCAGGCAATAACAAATGCTGGCAGGGCTGTGGGGAAAAAGGAACCCTTCTCCACTGTTGCTGGGAGTGTAGACTGGTGCAACCACTGTGGAAATCCCTTCTTATTTTCCTAAAGGAATTAAAAGCATCATACCACAGTGATATATGCACACTCATGTTTGTAGTGGCACAGTTTGTAATACCTAAATCTTGGAAACACCCCAAATGCCCATCAAATTATGAAAGATAATGAAGATGTAGTTTTTCAGCACAATGGAGTACTATTCTACCATAAAGAAGGATAAACAGACATTTCTAGGTAAATGGATGCACCTTGAGATCATGCTCTTAAGTGAAATAAATTGGACACGCAGGTGTAGTACGACATTGTTCTCTGACTTGAGAAACCAGAAGTGCAGATGAGAACCAAAATGTATAATAGATATTGTAAAAATAGCCATGAGTATTAAATGAAATTCACTTATTTTTAATGAAAAGGACACGTTGATTAAATTTAGCAAGTGGAAGAACGAGTCTGTCCTTTCATTAGAGTTGGAAATCACTGATATGCCTGTATTAACTCGAATTGATTTAACAGTATTTCAGGTCATAATTTATTGAAAATATGTGGTGCACTTTTATCAACATTTTCCAGATTCTTTTAACTAACTCTTGTAATATTGATAATATGGGGTCCTATTGAAGTAACATAATTAGTGAAGAAAGAAATTATATTTCCAACATTTAAGATATTCTAGATATCCTTTAATT